CAGCTCTTATGGGTAAATAATGTATTGCCAGGAGATTATATAACAACCTCTATTTGTAGAACACTTTACAGTTCACAGAGCACTTTCATGCAGACGACCTCAGGACTCTGGCAGTTGCCTGGGGAAGTTTCCTGACATCCCACACCCAGGTTTTGCACGACAGGATATTGATTTAGAGCATGGATGGTGCCTCATGCCCCACAGCGAAGACAGAAGGTGGGGGTTTTTTTGGTATTTACACAGCTGTCTGACACTTCCAAAGCTACCCCAAATTGTGTTTTTGAAAATGGATGCCAGAGGCATCCTAGAGGGTCAGAGCCATGTTTTCATTTAGCACTATTCCAGAATTTATTCATATCTGGGTAGTGAACTATGTATCAGAGATGCCAAGGAACAAGGACTCCAGAGGCTGTATTTGGTCCATTTCCGATCCTTGAGGAGTTTAAATGTCATTTCCCTGCAAGCTCGGCAGAACCCTTAAGGCTGTCATTTGCAAACCGCTGGATGCAGTAACTGTGTGTGGGAAGCCTGCACACACCATCCTCGTGGATTATGGATGGTTTCGCAGACTCAGCAGAGCTTTTGGATCCATAGACGGCTTGATCAGAATCAGAGTCATGTACTGGCCTGCACCAGAAAAATGATTCCTACTAGATGGAAACTTCCCACAGGGAGGTCAGAGTGGAAGCAGTCACTGGTTTCTGCAGCAGCTCACAAGATCCCAGGTTTTCAAACTGGGAGGGATCTGAAAGACCAGCAAGTACCTCCTCTGGACTTCATGATGACGAAACTTAGAAGTGAAAGGAGGAATCCAAGAGACATCATCTAAGAACAATGGTCTTCCCACTGTGCCATACTCTTTGTTCCAGAAAACACGTAAGCCACATATTGTTTTGCAGATCAAAGAAACTGGCATTATTTAGGGTCATGCTCGTGGTCTGCCCGGCTTCCAGTGTGAACACGAGACCTTCATTTGCTATCACCAGCAGCTTTTGAATGAATTGCCTTGTGATGCCTTATGTCAAAGGTAATGTCACAGATAAGACCAAAGCATCTATAAACAGGGCTTCATAGCATAGCCAGGAAACCAGAGCCGTGCTGCACCATTACCCCCTTATCAGATTAGTGGCATCAAAAAAAAAAAAAAAAGTATTAAATACTTTTGTCCACCTGCTCCTGATGGTTCATCGGATGCAAATGGATGACAGTAAGTCACTAGACAGTTGTTTTGTGGTGAAACACAGCAAAACCCAGGGTAAGAATGCCCCAAAGCACAACCTGAAACAAAACACTTTCCTGACATGTTCAAGGCGGGTTTCCACTACTCACGCGCGTTTTGTTTGTTTGTTTGTTTGTTTGTTTTTTTAATTCACCATGGAAAACCTTCCCTATCCTAAAAACAGAAATCCTGGCATTAAGCAGGACATGTCCTCTGCTCATGAATCCATCATGGCTAATTACTGCCTTCCCATTTCCTACTCTCTCTGCCTGGAACATCCCCCCCCACCCCTCCCATCTCTCAAGATTCAGCTTAAGTGGGCCCCTTCTCTGACACTGTTCCTTTTTAACGCCACTCCATGCTGAGTTAGTGTCCTCTTTCTGTGCCCACCCCCAGCCCTGCCCAAACCCCATGCTTCCTCTCTCATTAAACTCATCACACCCAATTGTAGCAGTAGGATTACCTGTCTTTCCCACCATAGAAAGCACACTCCATAGGGGCAAAGAGCATTTTTCTTTTTTTCTTTTTTTAAAGATTTTATTTATTTATTTGACAGAGAGAGACACAGGGACAAAGGGAACACAAACAGGGGGAGTGGGAGAGGAAGAAGCAGGCTTCCCGCCGAACAGGGAGCCCGATGTAGGGGCTCCATCCCAGGACTCCGGGATCACAGCCTGAGCTGAAGGCAGACGCTTAACGACTGAGCCACCCAGGTGCCCCAAAAGAGCATTTTTCATTTCAGCATTCTCTTTCACTGGAATACTGCCAGTATTCCAACTATGCCAATAGGCCAACTCAGGAGGCGGTGAGGCCCTCAGGCCCCGGTGCTGTGCTTCCTGTAGAACCCAAAGGACCCCGCACTGGAGAGATGCTGAAGATGCGACCCCTCTCTGCAATGCCTGTGGTATCAGGTACAAGAAATATGGCACCCGCTGCTCCAGCTGCTGGCTAGTGCCCAGGAAAAGTGTCCAGCCCAAGAAGTTATGTGGCAGATGTGGGGTGTCCCTGGGCCCCCGCCAAGGCCCAACTCAGGAAGGGGATCTCAGGTGGAAGACCCAGGCCTCGGGCTCCAGAGTCCCTGTCTCAGGGGGCCACTGTCCCCCTCCCTGGCCCCTGGTCCGATCAGGTTTGGCTGAGCCTCCCCTCAGAAAATGTTCTCAGCAGTGACACTCCTACTGTGAACAGCAATAACAATAAAGAACACAACTATTCTGAAAAAAAAAAAACAAAACTACTCTGCCAGGAACAGAGTAGGTTTTGATAAATGTCAGTAAAATGAATGAAATTTGAATTCTGCCTGCCTTTCAACCTCCCCCTCAATCTGGCCTCTGGGAACAGATCCTCAATATGACCAACTTTCTCCTCTTCAAGCTGCCTCCTACCCTACTCATAAATATCAATGCCTCCAACTCAAACACTATCAAGAACACCCCTGTGGAGGGGCCTGGGTAGCTCAGTTGGTTAAGCGACTGCTTTCATCTCAGGTCATGATCCTGGGGTCCTGGGATCAAGCCCGGCATTGGGCTCCCTGCTTGGCTGGAAGCCTGCTTCTCCCTCTCCCACCCCCACTGCTTGTGTTCCCTCTCACCCTGTCCCTCTCTCTCTCTCTATTAAATAAATAAATAAAATCTCAAAAAAAAAAAAAAAAAAAGAACACCCCTGTAGTTGAATTTGGGGTTTATTGCTCAATGCAACAGTGAATGCATATGGTGGAACATCTCTGTAAGAGGTTGTTAGGAAGGACTTGTAGATTTGGTTTGTGTTGGATGATTTGGATAAGGGTTCAGGCAAGTGGGGCATTGCTCTGGATTGGAGGTTGTCAGGAAATGGGAGTGATTCTATGATTGGGTATCAATAAATCTAATCCACAAGGTGGGAGGAATGAAGCAAAAGCAAAGCTAAAGCTGTGATTGGCAAAGAAGCTGCTTCCATATTAGCCAAATCAATAGGGCGATGTTTGGTTATTTTTGTGGTTTGGACAATGTTTTTTTTTTTAAGATTTTATTTATTTATTTCACAGAGAGAGACACAGCGAGAGAGGGCGCACAAGCAGGGGGAGTGGGAGAGGGAGAAGCAGGCTTCCAGCTGAGCAGGGAACCTGATGCGGGGCTCGATCCCAGGACCCTGGGATCATGACCTGAGCTGAAGGCAGACGCTTAATGACTGAGCCACCCAGGTGCCCCTGGACAATGTTCTTACTTCTGCCTGTGTTCAGACATGAGTGATCATGTTTTTGTCTTGACTGATCATGGTCACAGAGTGGCCTTGTCTGGTGTTGTTTTGTGCAGTTGTTTATTTCGACAGAACCCCACGGTCTAACTGATATACCAGGCCAGCCCCCAGATGCCAAGGGCTGCCTCTGTCTTTCTCATAACTAATACTCATTCCTAACTTTCACCAAGCTCTTCCCCGGGATGCTCTTCTCCCTCCTCCAGCCAAACCCTACTTAAATTCAAATTGAACTCCACAAAATCCCATCTTCCCCTCCAGGCTTTCCTAAATACTTTTTTCTCCATTAGATTATCTTTTCTGAATGCATCTAAAAGTCTTGGCCAGCACACCACAATTTAGTATTCAACTGCCTTCTCTCTGGAATGGTTTGACTTGTTTCACATGTGTTTTTCTCCTCTGCTTGGCAGGTTGTAAACCTTTGTAGGGGCAGGGTCATTTCTTACATTTTGGCATCCCCCTAGAACTGAGAACCTTCCTGAGGTAAAACCAATGGCTGGTCTAAGGAAAGGGGGTGAGTCTGCTCGGAAAACACAGCTACCAGCCAGCAGGGGAGAAGCCAACGGCTTCCCTTTCACCTTTCTAACACTCTGACCTTATCTTCCCACCTTCCCATCAGGAAACCATGTTTTGAATTTTTCTTTTGGAGCATTCATTTCTTCCCAAGAGTTATTTTTGTAAATGTCTTCTGTCCCTACCTGTCCGTGAGTGTAGGACCTACCGTTAATGTATTGTTGTAGAGTTTAGCAGATAGAAGGAAAGGCCCAGCAGTCCACCATTAACCGCAGCTCCTGTCTGGCTCGTTGCAGAAAGTAGGATACACCGGAACTGTCTCCTCCGGGCCGAGCAGAGTCACCTATGAGAGTCAATGCCTTGGCCAACTCTGGCTTAAGTCAGGGCACAAGACCTCTTAGCCCGGTTAGCCTGCAAGTCCTCCAGCTCATCAATTTTTTTTTAAGATGTTATTTATTTATTTGACAGAGAGACAGGGAGGGAACACAAGCAGGGGGAGTGGGAGAGGGAGAAGCAGGCTTCCAGCTGAGCAGAGAGCCCGATGCGGGGCTCGATCCCAAGACCCTGGGATCATGACCTGAGCCGAAGGCAGACGCTTAACGACTGAGCCACCCAGGCGCCCCTCTCCGGCTCATCATTACTCCCTAGGCGGACACTCAGCAGGCTTGGGGAAACCTTAGCTAAAAGCTGCAAGTTTCACCCACTCTGCGCAGAGAAGCTGAGATTCCGGGACGCCGGGAAAACAGCAGTACTCCACTTGGCAAAGCGGGCTGGCAGAGTTTGATTTCCACCGCAGGGAGGTGGCCAGCTTTCTACAAAGCTGCCTATCTCCAGAACCAGCCAATCCTAAAGCCCGAGATTAAAAGCCAGAGGAGGCGGAGCCGAAGCCTTGATTGGCACCGGGTCTCCTGGGGACTCGCGGAGGCCGGGCAGCGCGGACTCTGAAGAGGCTTCAAGTTGGGTGACCTAGCAGTGGCGGCCATCTTTATTTCTGGCAGATCAGCTGACGGGCACAATCTGGCCCAGCACGTCGACGCTATCCCGTTTCCCTAGGGAGCCCATGAGCTCCTCCCCTCCCGTGCCCCAGTCTTCGCGGGGGGGGGCGGGGCCTCTCCGAGAGGGGCGGGGCCGGAGCTAGAAGCCAGATTGAAAGCGGTGAGGCTGTTTGGCGGGAAGTTGGCTAAGTTCCCCGGTCCCCGCCTTGTTTCTCCCCAGAGGCTTCACAATCTTCCCTCCACGATCTCGGCATAGGGCATAGTACCCTTTCGCACGGAGGACGCGATGGCTCCTAGGAAACGCCCAGAAACCCAGAAGACCCCCGAGGTAGCAGTGCGCCCCAAGAGCAAGAGGAGCAGAAGCCCCCGGGAGCTGGAGCCCGAGGCCAAGAAGCTCTGTGTGAAGGGCCCCGGTACTGCCTGCGCCTGCTGCTTTAATAATTCCGCCTTTTGGGGTTCTCACACAGGAGGCTGGAGTGGGGGATGGGTGCTACTGGTTTCTCAAGGCTGCCCCAAGTTTCGGATGCCTCGGGCTGTGCATTTTTCTGCAGGTCCTTTGACATCATAGAGCTGGCTTAACCCCCCTCAGGTGCCGGGAAGAGGCAGATGAGCTCCATTACATAAGACACAACAGACCTTCCAATTCCTTGTTTGTACCAGGATTTTTACACACGAAGGACTGCTTAAAATAATCCTACCTTGCCTGGTGGTGTGTGTGTTGAATTTCGATAGACATGGTTGCTAGCTGTGTGTCCTTGGTTTCCGCTGTAAGAACCCTCAACTTCCTTCCTTAGAAAACTCACTCTCTGAGGTTTATTGGGGCTTGAACCTGGGGCTATGAGGAGTGTGGGGGAACATAAAAGACTGGAGCAGGGGGTTGTTGATGAAGTGCTTTTTGTCCATAAGAAGAAGGAATGGGTTGTCAAGAGGCCAGATTCATAGAGACCAGGTCCTCAGATACACCTGTATTCCTATTCTAAGTGGATCTACCTCTCCAAAAGCAGCTTAGTTAATTTAGAGCCATGCCAGACCCTCTGGATCCTGCTGGTTTCCAAAAGAACAGATTGGACTTGGGGCCAACAACTGGTCACCTCTACATCATTTTAATACAGGATTTAAAGATACATCTTTCCCCAGTCACTTCTGTGCTATCTTAAAATCCTTTTATTGTGCATCGTATGTGATTTTATTTTTTTAATTTTTTTTAAAGATTTTATTTATTTATTTGAGAGAGAGAATGAGAGATAGAGAGCACGAGAGGGAAGAGGGTCAGAGGGAGAAGCAGACTCCCTGCTCAGCAGGGAGCCCGATGCGGGACTCGATCCCGGGACTCCAGGATCATGGCCTGAGCCGAAGGCAGTCGCTTAACCAACTGAGTCACCTAGGCGCCCTCGAATGTGATTTTAAAATTGCCACCGAACCCTAGTATGAGTTTTCCAACCCACTGGGAAGAGTTCTATGTAAACTTTATTCCTATGTGTCTCTTTGGCTCCCTGCTCAGAAACCCTGCAAGGATCTGGTTTCATATGATTTCATATTTAGTTTAACTTCAGAATTACTATTTTGGGGAGTGTTTGGGGTAAGGGGCTGAATCCCTTCTCACTCTTTATTTCTTGTGCTGGGTGAGAGTGAGCAGACCATGGAAAGGCCTTAGGAGGTGATGGGAGAGTCTGGCTATGCGGCATGAAAAAACAAGGCTTTCTTTCTGAGATTTCAGCAGGAAACTCTTCCGTGCGTGAGAAGAGAGAGGAAAATATGTGTCTGTTCTGCTTGGCAGGTTCTAGCAGAAGATTTGACTCAGGCTGCCTTTGGGCGGGGTTGGCTAGCCTGCAGGTCCCGCCATCATGCAGCATCGTCAGGGCCCTCCACCACCATAAGCTGGGCAATGCTGTCCGGCCATCACTACAGCAGGTGAGGCGTTTCCTGGCTGAAGAGCTCAAGGGGTTGCCCAGTACCTTTTCACTACTGGGATGTTCTCAAGTTAGATGCTGGGTTGGTTCAGCGGGTTGTCAGAGTGGTCAGATCACCTCTGTCTTGGGCACTGACCTACTGGGCATTCAGCCAGGTGGAAGTCTTATGCTGTAAAGGTCTCATCTGGAATGCACTCTGCCCCCTTGCTTTCCAGGATGAGTTCATGCACACTGCAAATATTTTCAAGCACAGAGCCAGGCAGTTAGTTTTCCTTTGGTGGGAGGACTTGGCCCTAGAGCTCGTCTATGGAGGAGGCAGAGATTGGCAATTTACCCAGGACTTTGGGTTTTAATGCAATTTAATTCTTTTTTTTTTTTTTTTTTTTTTCTGTGTCAGGGTCTCCAGCAGGCCTTTCTGCACTCTCTGGCTTCTTACCGGATATTCCAAAAGGCTGCCCCCTTTGACAGGAGGGCCACATCCTTGGCATGGCACCCAACTCACCCCAGCACCCTGGCTGTGGGTTCCAAAGGGGGAGATATCATGCTCTGGAACTTTGGCATAAAGGACAAACCCACCTTCATTAAAGGGGTGAGCAGTTCCCTGTGCCAGTCAATAGTGCTGAAGAAGTGTTTGTTGAAGGAATGAAAAGTTATTCAGGAACGAGGAGATGATTGGGATCAGAAGGAACTGGGTATTTTCCAAACAAGTCAATGGTAATGCTACTCAAATCTTCCTTGAGTGCCAGCCCTTAAAACATGAGAGGGTATAAAATATTGATCACCCTTTTGTAAGTTATCACATAGGACAGAATCTGAGCCCCTTCTTAACTCTTGGCCTCGTCTTCTCCTCCTGTCTTTCCTCGGTTCCTAGGCTTTGGCCACACTAGCTATTTCTATTCCTAAAACGGGATCTTTGCACTTGCTCTTCTCTTTGACTGGGGTACTCTTTCCCATGGTTTTCTCATGGCTGGCTCCCTCTTACCATTCAGGTCTTGGCTTAATATACTTCTTCAAACAGACCACTCTGTCTAAAGTAGCCTCTACTTCACTCATTCACTCCCTCTCTGCTTACCCTGCTTCACTCCCCCCCCAACAATGTTTATCAGTACCTGAAATGTTTTACTTATTTGTTTGTCTCTGCCCAAACAAATGTCTTTGGAAAGTAAGCTCCATGATAAGAGGGACCTTGTCTTTCTGGTTCACCACCATATCCCCAGTGCCTAGAACAATGTTTGGCCTAGAGTAGCCGCTTTATGTTTGTTGAACAAATGAGGGCCTTGAAGTGTAACTGGGTAGATGGGATGTATACATACAAGATAATTGGCAATACCGATGGTAAATGCTACAGAACGTGAGAGAAGGAAGAACGTCCTGTGAGTTAGAGTCAACAGAGAAGGCTCATGGGTGAGTGGGGAATGAGGAAGAACAATGATTAGGTAAATGGGGAGAAAAAGGAAAGGCAGAGTATGTTCAGGGCAAAGATTGGCATCGTGATTTTTAGGGATGGTTAGTATTTATCATTAATTGCTGAGGGGTAAAGGTGATGGCTCTTCCACCAAAGAGAAGACCCTTAGTTTGCCCAGTGGGGGGCTGACAGTGGAGGGCTGTACTGTAATAAGTGATGCTCTGGGTTTAGAACAGAAGCCACAAACTCACATGCTTAAGGAAGCCAAACAGGAAAAAGAATGATAGGGAATGGGGTCAGGGGTAAACTGGAGATGGCTGACATGCAAGAATCTGGGTCCCATGATGGTATCAGATCTGATTTGCTCAAATGAAGCCTGAAGCCCCAATTTTTTTTTACATGAAATGTTCTGATTTTTAAAGATGGTGATGAAATACACCTAAAATGTACCCTCTTAACCATTTTTAAGTGTGCAGTTCAGCGGCCTTAAGTACGTTGGAGTTCTTGTGTAGCTAGTCTCCAGAATTCCATCTTGCAAAAGTAAAACTCTGCACCCACTAAACACTAACCCCCATTCTTCCATCTCCCCATCCTTGGCGACCACCATTTTACTTTCTGTTTTGATGATTTTGACACTCTCAGGAGTATCTTGCATAAGTGGAATCACAATATTTATCCTTTGGCTTATTTCACTTTGCATAACATCCTCTAGGTTCATCTGTGTTGTAGCAGGTGTCAGAATTTCCTTTTTAAGGCTGAATAATGCTCTACTTGATGCATCTACCACATTTTTCTTCTCCATTCATCTGCTGATGGACACTTGGGTTGCTTCCACCTTTTGGCTATTGTGAACAATGCTGCTGTGGTTGTGGGTATGCAAATTATCTCTTCAAATCCCCGCTTTCAGTTCTTTGGGGTGTATACCCAGAAATGGAACAGAAGAGATAGATGAGGCCAAGGGCGAACCCAGGATGGGTTTTCTTAAGTGCTTCCTCAAAGCAGCCCATCATAAAAGGCCAGGTTAGACAGGCTTAGGATGAGATGGGTGTTCAAGAAAACAGGTGCTTTGAAGCCAGAAGAAGGGCAGCCAGAGGAATGCTGTGGACAGAGCTCAGCTTCCTGCCCAGCTGGTGAGACAGGTGACCACCAGAAGGGGCAGTTTTAAATTGAAGTCAAAACCCAGAGCTCAGACAGGAAGAGATTTGTTTTTTGGTTTTTTGGGTTTTTTCCCTCCTCGGAATCTAGGACAGGGGAATAGAGAAATTTAAGAAGTAGCCTAAGGGTGTCCTAGGGGAAGAGCCTCCTGACCAAAAGGGAAATGACATCTGCTTTAAACTTGTGCCAGGCTGAGGCTGCTTTGGTTTATACTTTGGTTTTATACTGCTCTTTAGTATAACATGCCTTTAAGTGACATTTCTTCATACCGTCACGGAGATTGGTTTGAGCATCTGCACGCTGAGACTAGCAAGAGGCTAGATTGGAGCAGAAGAAGAGTATGGTGGTCTGGAGAGCTCTCTGTTTTTACTCCCAGACACTGACAGAAAGTTGATTTGAGAACAGGGACTGAAGGCACAGCAGTGCCTCATTTTGCTGCTACATTTTTTTTAAATTTTTTAAATTTTTATTTTTTAAGTAGGCTCCACGCCCAACGTGGGGCCTAAACTCATGACCCCGAAATCAAGAGTCACATGCTCCCCTGACTGAGCTAGCCATGCGCCCCTCATTTTGTTATTTCTTTAGTCCTCTGACCTTGGCTCTGATCTTTACAAGGAAACACGTATGACGTTTTCATAATGAAGGTAACTTAGTTTTACTCTTATTGTAAAATCATCCATGCTTATGAGAATTTCAAATAATACAGAGAAAAGCATAAAGAATAAAAAGTACTTGAAATCTCCATTTGAGGCATCTTTCTCTGTGTGTATACACTATTATACACACCCAAACTTCTACCTAGATTATTACATAAATATTCTACCCTACATTCTGTTGTATTTTACTTATTATATCAGATATTCTAGTTTAAAATCATATACCAGATGACCACTAAAAATATCCTATAATTCCCCTTTTTTTTTTTGTAATGCCTTTGGTATTAGGGTAATGCAGGCCTGATTAAAAAGAGATAGGCGGTATTCCTACCTCTTGTATTTTCTGGAATTATTTGTGTAGAATTGATACTATCTCTTCCTTAAAAAATTTTTTTTTTAAAGATTTTATTTATTAGAGAGAGAGAGAGCACAAGCAGGGGGAGCGGCAGGCAGAGGGAGAGGGAGAAGCAGGCCCTCTGCTGAGCAAGGGGCTGGATGCGGGGCTCGATCCCAGGACTCTGGGATTGTGACCCGAGCCAAAGGCAGCCGCTTAACTGACGGAGCCGCCCAGGCACCCCTCTTTCTTAAAATTTTTGTAGTATTTTTAGGATTGGAGTTTTCTTTGTTGGGGAGTTAACTATATATTCAATATCTTTCATAGCTATGGGGCAGTTTAGGTTCTCTGTTTCTTGTGAATGAGCTTGGTAGTTTGTTTTTCAAGAAACTTGTCCATTTTACCTAAATTATTGATTTTAGTGACATGAATTTGTTCATGGTATTTCCTTACTATCCTTTTAATGTCTACGTGATCTTTAGTGATACCTCCCCTCACATTCTTTTTTTTTTTAAAAGATGTTACTTATTTATTTGACAGAGAGAGCGAGAAAGGAAACACAAGCATGGGGAGTGGGAGAGGGAGAAGCAGGCTTCCGGCTGAGCAGGGAGCCCGACTCAGGGCTCAATCCCAGGACCCTGGGACCATGACCTGGGCCGAAGGCTGACGCTTAACGACTGAGCCACCCAGGCACCCCATCAGTAGGGTTTTTTTTTTTTCTTTCTCAGTAGTGTTCCATTATATCAATGTACCACAATTTATCCATTCACCTGCAGAAGGATATTTGGATTTTTTCCAAATAAAAATAAAGCTATTATGAACATTTATGTACAAGCTTTGTGTAGATATATGTTTTCATTTTTCTTGAATTAAGTACCTAGTTGTGGAGCCAAAGGCAGACGCTTAACTGACTGAGCCACCCAGGCACCCCTAGAGTTCCTTTTGGTAACATTTTCCTTCTGCCTGAAGAATTTCCTTTAACATTTCTTATAATGTAGGTTGGCTGCTGATACATTTTTTTTCTTTTGTTTGTCTTTTTTAGGGGAAAAGATATTTTTGCTAGGTATAGAATTCTAGGTTCACAGGCTTTTGTTTTTGTTTTCTTGCTTTTACTACTTTAAGAGATGATTTCTTTCTTTTTTTAAGATTTTATTTATTTGACAGGGAGGGAGAGAGAGAGAGCACAAGTAGGCAGACAGGCAGGCAGAGGGAGAGGGAGAAGCAGACTCCCCTCTGAGCTGGGAGCTGGACGCGGGGCTCGATCCCAGGACGCTGGGATCATGGCCTGAGCCGAAGGCAGATGCTTAACCGACTGAGCCACTCAGGCACCCTTAGAGATGATTTCTGATGCAGTCTTCTCTCATTCTTATGTTCCTCTTTACATGATTTTTCTTTTCTTTTTTTCTTCTGGCTACTTTAAAAATGATTGTGATTTGTCTACTATATTTCTCAATATGTCTCTGCTCTTTGGGGTTCATTTTACCTCTTGGATCGATGGGTTTGTCATCAAATTTGGAAAATTTTGGCCATAAATATTCAATAGTTTCTCCCCCCCTTTATTTTCTGGGACTCCAATTATATATATGTTAGGCTACTAGGTGTTTTCCTACAGGTCATTGATAAAGTTCATTTTTTAATCCCCCCCATTTTATTTTGCATAGCTTCTATTGCTGTCTTTCACTGATCTGCATTATCTAATCTGTATTAGATGTATTTTTTTTCAGATACTGTATATCATCTCCAGAAGTTTGATTTGGGCCTTTTTAAGTAGCTTCCATTTCTTTTTTCATGTTCACTACTTCCTCTACTTTCTTGACCACATAGAGTGTGTTCATAATAGTTGTTTTAATGGTTTTGCTAATTCTATCATCTGTGTCACTTCTGAGGGTGTTTCTATTCATTTAGTTTTCTTCTGGTTATGAGTTCTATTTTCCTCCTTCTTTGCATGCCTGGTAATTTCTCATTAGATGCCAGACATTGTGAATTTTACATTGTTGGATGCTGGATAGTGTTGTATTCTTTTAAATATTGTCGGGCTT